CTGAGGGGGACAACACTGGGGGGGGCACTGGGGAGTGGGGGAACACTGAGGGGGGGTTGGGTACTGGGGGGCAGTGTCAATGGGGTAGGGGTGAACATAGGGTGGTGGGTGACACTGGGGGGTTGGGGTGACACTGGAACACCCAGGAGGGGACACTGGTGTGCTCAGGTGACACTGGGACACCCAGGAGGGGACACTGGTGTGCTGGGGTGACAGCCAGGAGGGGACACTGAGGTGTTGCGGTGACAACATGACACCCAGAAGGGACACTGGGGTGTTAGGGTGACAATGTGACAGTCAGGAGGGGACACTGGTGTGCTTGGGGTGACAGCGTGACACCCAGAGGGGGACCCTGAGGTGTTGCAGTGACACTGGGACACCCAGGAGAGGACACTGGTGTGCTTGGGGTGACAGCGTGACACCCAGGGAGGGACCCTGAGGTGTTGCAGTGACACTGGGACACCTAGGAGGAGATATTGGTGTGTTGGGGTGACAAGATGACACCCAGGAGGGGACACTGCTGTGCTGGAGTGACACCATGACAGCCAGGAAGGGACACTGGTGTGTTGGGGTGGCACTGGGACACCCAGGAGGGGACACTGGTGTGCTGGAGTGGCACTGGGACACCCAGAAGGGACACTGGGGTGTTGGGGTGACAGCCAGGAGGGGACACTGAGCTGTTGCAGTGACAAGGTGACACCCAGGAGGGGACAGTGGTGTACTGGGGTGACAATGTGACAGCCAGGAGGGGACACTGGTGTGCTTGGGGTGACAGCGTGACACCCAGGAGGGGACACTGGGGTGTTGGGGTGACACTGGGACACCCAGGAGGGGACACTGGTGTGTTGGGGTGACAGCCAGGAGGGGACAGTGGTGTGCTCAGGTGACACTGGGACAACCAGGAGGGGACATTGGGATGTCGGGGTGACCCTGGGACAGCAGTGGTGTGCCCAGGGGTGGCAGGAGGGGACCCTGGCTGCGAGGGTGACGGGTGTGCAGCTGAGGCCACCCATGGACTCCCCCCTGCCGGCTGTCCCCGTCCCCCGGTGGTGACAGTGCTAACCCTGTCCCCACGGTGACGGTCCCCAGAGTTCAAGGAGGCCTTCTCGCTCTTCGACAAGGACGGGGATGGCACCATCACCACCAAGGAGCTGGGCACCGTCATGCGCTCTCTGGGCCAGAACCCCACCGAGGCCGAGCTGCAGGACATGATCAACGAGGTGGACGCCGACGGTGAGCTCCGCCTGTCCCCCGCTTGTCCCTTTGTCCCCCTGTCCCCTTCCTCACCCTCCCTCCCGTCCCCTCCCCACCACCAGGCAACGGCACCATCGACTTCCCCGAGTTCCTCACCATGATGGCGAGGAAGATGAAGGACACGGACAGCGAGGAGGAGATCCGCGAGGCTTTCCGCGTCTTCGATAAGGTGTGTGTGTAGGGGGGGGTGACAGGGGTGGGGACAAGGGGGGT